GAAGAAGAAGAAGAAGAAGAAGAAGAAGAACAACAACAACAACAACAACAACAACAACAACAACAACAACAACATGGAAGAGGAAGAATATGGCAAGAGGTCCTACACATGGTGGTGGGGAACACAGTTAAATTGTATTTGAGTTTATATGTTATATGTTTTTGTTTAAGTTATAGTTATATAAAATTAAAAAATATTTGAAAAAAGTTACTTGCCCATTTTACCATCATCTCCTTCACCCTCTTGTCCTCCAAGTCACACTCCAATAGGTATATATACATTTTTAAATTATTTTCTTAACAGTATATATCCACAGTTTATCCACCTGGACTTCCCCCTCAAAGAAGCCCACAATTTTATCTTTTTATATCTCAATCCTAGTTTGTTCATTGACCACCAATCAGTGGCCACCCCTAATTCCTCTAGCTCTTGCTTATTTTTTTATATCCTGTTCTTTATTAAGTAATTCTTTATATGTAAGTAACGCCCTTTTCTGATTCAAGACTTTCAAAGTAAACGCTTTATAGGTGCTACCCATATTGGGATTTTCTTATAGGTTTGTGTTTGAAATTTTTGCCAGACTAAACATAAAGCCTTTCTTACAATACGTTCTACAAAATGTGATTGTTCTTTGTATTTCCCATACCACACATATGCATGCAAACTCATTCTTAAATCATGTACCTCCAATTTCAGTAATATTTGGTTTTTGAGAGTTATCCACTCTTTTATCCACATCATAGCACAAGCCTTATAGTATAATAACCAATTCGGTAGTCCGGAACCCCCCTTTCTTTCAAGTCCTGTAATAGTCTGAGTTTTATTCTTGGTTTCTTAGTCTTCCATACAAATTTTGCTGTCAGGCGATCCAGGACCTTAAAATATTTAAAGTTTAATAATGTTGGCAGATTTTGAAATAAAAATAGTAGTTTTGGTAATATCATCATTTTTATCGTTGAGATTCTTCCCATCAGAGAGAATTGTAGCTTACTCCATTCTTCCAATTTTTTCTGGAAATACCAAACTTAAGAATTGTTATTGGGGGAAAAATCAAGGGAAAAACCCCTCTGCTATGTTTTAGCCTTTTTGCCCTGGATCTCTTTCTCTAAAAAACTTTCTTTGCCAAATTCTATAGCTCTAATATATTCCTCTTAATTTTAATCACAAACAATACTGTATAGGTGAGTGTCCCACCCATTTTAAAGGGTGCAAGTCCTACCTTTATCTTAGTTTACAATGATCCATGGAGCTACTGTAAGTGATCTTTACTTTGAAATAAGCATGAATCGGATTGGGTTTTCTCGTTCTCTGAGGAAAATTCTCTGAGGCTACATCACTCCTATAGGATACCAACCAATCCAGGGCCTTGTTGAACCTTCAAAATCCTTGCTCCCACCATCCTGGCTGTTCTGACAACAGCCCTCATAACACTATTTGATAAGAAATTTCCTGGGTAATCTGCCAGAGAAAGGGTGTAGAAAAAAGAGAAGAGAAGGGGGGGGGGGGGGGAAACGACCCAAAACTGTTGTGTCCCCACATTATTGCTAACCTCTGAAGCATTCATGTTCAAGAGGCTCTTTTTTGGGAATCAATGAAAAAAAAAACAAGAACAAAGCAAGAGCCTGTTTGATATTTTCTTTTTTTCATTCAAGGTAACATGAAAATCCCATCACAACACAGTACAAGCACAAGTGATGGGTTTGTCATATTAATACCCCTCCCCTCCATAGAGTGCAACAACAGACAGACACTTTATAATTTCCTGGAATAATTGTTATTGTTTGGATCTCATTATTTATGTCTTTATGGGTTGAGGTGGGTAATTGTATGTGTTTTTTTTTAATTGTGTGGGTGTCTCTTCCTAATCGTTTTCTCCCCTGGGAAACTGGATTCTTGTCAAGGACTAAAAGCAATATATATCCCTTATACTTGCCTTTCCACAAGGAATGTTAAGTACAATTCAATGCAAAGCCCTTTCATTTGCAGAAGTTGGAAGTTACATTGGAAAAATAATTAATTATGGTTATAGTTCTGAGCTACCAGTATTTCATAACCATTATAATCAGCTTTCTAAATATGATTCTTTACCTTCCCATTTCCTCCTAGTAATGAAATAGGAACAATAATGGATTTTTTCAAAACAGTAAAGAGTCATGTGACACTTGTTAAAAATGAGCAGGTTTTAGTTGGCCTAAGCTTTTGTGGAATGCTATGAACTTATAGTAAAAACTTATCAGAAATAAAACTTGTTTTCTTTGAGGTGCCATAACTCTTTGTCATTTTTGCTATATCAGGCTAACACGTCTACTTCCTTGGAAAAAGAAAGTTGTAGTTGTTTTCTGAAGATGCATTTGAAAACCACATGCCATTCATCTTCGGTGCACTTCTCCAGCAGTGGAAAGGTAGGGAGCTGGCTTCATCGCCTGCATGCCTTTTAAATGTATGCATTTCATTGTTCTTTGTCTTTTCCTTTGCCTTCTGCTTTTCGGTTTACTTGGTTGAGGCTGGGGGAATTCGAATTTCTCCGGCATTTCCTGCCTTGGACTGCAATTCCCAGAAGCCTTCACCACCAGCTGTGCTGATTCCCAGTCTAGGGGCCCCCCAGGTGTTCTTGGACTGCAATTCCCAGAAGTCTTCACCAGCAGTTGGCCAGCACAAGAACCAGTCCAAGGACATCTGGGTGACCCAAGATTGGGAATCACTGATTTATACCCTCAGACTTGGGTTGCTTTATTATATGCCTGCCTGTGGAGTCATGAAGCTTGTATTTTGAATGCCTTTCTTTTGAATGTCTCCAGCTAAAATAAAACTGAAAGCAAAAGCGCCCAGCCTCTTAAGGAGCCATGATTCCTGCCCACCCCAGGATGAGTCCTTGTTCGGTTCAAATTGGGAGAGGGAATCTCCATATTCTCCAGCATGGGACTACTCTACATTCTCCTGCAGATCTGTATCTCTATGTGCCGCTTGAGCTCTCTTCTCGTGAGAAGAGGGCAATTTTCCTTTTGCAATGGGAAGGGAAGGGGGAGGGGAGGACTGCAGGATTAGAGAAAGAGAGAGACAGGCAGAGGGGAAGGAGGGAGGGAGGGAGGTGTGACTCCTCGAGCAGCATTTTTCACTCAACACAGATGAGTGGACGAGTGTATTTTTCAAGTCTCGAATATATATATCCTAAAGTTAATAATGTGATTGCTTACATCTTTATTAATACAATAGTGAACTAATCACAAATAACTAGATATATATAACTCTTTGGCTAAAATCCAGTTGTTAAGTCAGAATCAAGTCCATGGGACTTATGAACAAATTGGCTTAGCAAATCCCCACTGATTCAATGGGCCTACTCTAACTACAACATACTACTTCATTTCAGCCCTTAATGCACTATTTAGTCTTTGTCCCTTTTCACATCCAGGTGCTTGTAGAGCACATGCACAAATAGCGTTCTCCTGCTTCAAACATGTAGGAGGGTGATGGAAAAGATGATAATGAGCAATGGGCTTGGAGAACGTCCCTTTAATCATCTGAATTAGAGTGCCTGAACAGTCAGGCACTGAATAGTCAAAGAGAGAACACAGTATAAATGGCTGAATATGTTAAGTATGTTATGGCAGTGGTCTCCAACCTTGGGCCTCCAGATGTTCTTAGACTTCAACTCCCAGAAATCCTGGCCAGCAGAGGTGAGGTTAAAGCTTCTGGGAGTTGTAGTCTAAGAACATCTGGAGCCCAAGGTTCATGTTAAGTATGTATTGGATTCTGGGAGATACAGTCTTTAAAAAGTAACTTTTTCCATCTTCTAGCTGGTGATTGATGAGACTGGTTTAACCTTTAACCCACTTTAACTAGCCACTGTAGCCTCTGTATGGACACAGCAGAACTGTTTAGAAAAGTATAGGCCTGAACCAAAATAATAAAAATGAAGTTAACCTAGTGGAAGTGCTGAAAGAAACACATTCTTCCAAAATACAACTATCAATGGGAATGTATATCTAAATTTTAACATTATCTACAGAAAATGTTATTAAAGGCAACCCAACAGCAATAATGGTACTACAGGTACATATCTTCATGGCTACTAATGAAACAGGTTGTCAGGAAAAATCATACTTACTCTGAGATGTATCAGTGTGGGTATTGCTTCCTTTTAGACTAATTTTCTGTGCTTGACTTGCAGGAATAGGCTTATAAGACTGTCCTGTTGCCCTATACATCGCTTGAACCCATAAGATTCTGTCTTGCTCATCATCGCTGGCAAATATCACTGTGTCACCTTCTTTTACTGCATTGAAGAACATCTGACCACCTTGGAGACCTGCAAAATCAGGAATAGCTATGGTCTGGTGAAGCAATTTTGCTAATGAGTGAGGATTTTCCACCCTGCCTCAGCATGGAAATCTTTTCAGTTCTTTTCTACAAACTTAAACGAAAACTCAGTGTGGGGGATGTTTACACTCAGACCAAAGCTAAAACAATATGAAAACCGTTTTCTCTTTTTCTGCTATTTCTACCTCTAACCTCTTTTCTCTTCTCTGTACACATACTGAAAACAATGGTATATCATGCACGTGTGTTAGTAAGAGTGTTTGCTGGGGAACTGTGTTCCTTGTTGAAGGATTTTTCCAATTGACCAGCATTCCCCTGAAACCAAGCTTTTCGTGGCCATTCTTTGTACTGTGGGCTGTGAGGTTGAGGGATTTTGGGCACTTCAGATTTTTTGGACTACAACTCTTTCAATCTCTTGCCCTCAACCAAGCTGAGTGGGGTTGAAGGCAATTGTGGTCTAAAATTCTCTAGAGGGACAAAACTTCTTCAACTCTGGTTTAGTTTTGGGATCTTCCTTACCAAAACAAAATGCTAGCACACAAGAAAGAATCCTGTTATAGCTGCTACAAATAAAAATGGGGGTGGGATGAGCCTTTTCATCTATTAATTGTATAAAATGTTAAAATAATAGGGCAGTATTAATAAGAAACTGTTTAAAAAAATAAACCTTATGTATTGGAGTTTTTGTTTGCTTTTGAAGGAGGCAGGATTTAATCTGCTTGTAATAGGACGAAGAATGGAACAAAAAAAATACAACAGCCTACACACTACTATAAGTATTTCTTTTTTTTTTTACTTCTTGTGGGATTTTGATAAACAAACATGTAATTGAATAATAGTAAGAATCCCTCTCTCCCAGACTTTCTAATAACACTGGCAACTTTCCTAGGTTTTTACTTTACACCTGACAGAAAATATATTTACTGTACTCTTTTCTTCACAGCTGCATGAAGCCATTTGCAAGAACATTTACATAACAGTAAATATCTGTTACACAACAGACTACCTGGATGGGGTCCTGTATAGTCCACAGTATATCCTTCAAGCTGCATTAGTTCCTGAGGTTCAGATTTCTTCTCTCTGTAACTGCACATAGCAAATGTATACTGGCTAACCTAAGGGGGCAAATGTTTCAGATCAGTGACATAACATCATTCTAAACTTCAGCCCTCATATTTGACTGGTAATATACAGCACCCAAGCTAAAAATGTTTCTTTTCACTAACATTTAACCCTGATTAATTCTGCCCGACTGCATAATCTGGTTTTGAGATGAGATGCAAAAGAAGAATGAGATCAAATTGAAAATGAGTTAATACAATGCACCAGCAAGAGAAGATAACAGAGACAATTCCTGCTAACGGTACTACCATGATTCTGGTATATGAGAATGGTTGCCAGATACATGGGTACCAAAAGGAGGACATAGAAAGACCAAAAAAAAAAAAAAAAAAAAAAAGAACAGAGGAGGACATATTGAATGTTTTCATTTGAATAGTTTTGGATTAAACATGCAGTCAATACAATTTTATTACAATAGCAGCCAATAAATGTCTCTTAGTGAACTGACAAAGAAACAGTCATGTTAAAAAATAAAAATACATTTATGGAGGCTTTTTTTCAAAATACCAGAAAAACATTATTTAAACAGCCAATTGTATCTGAACCTACCCCGGCCTGGCTGTGGGATCCCCTGGCCACTTGCACTCTGCATAGGCTCAGAGGCAACCTTGTTAATCTGGACACCCAAACAAGGCTCCGGCGCAGGCAGGGGGAAAGCAGCGCCAGGCAAAGCTGAACAAGGCAGCCTCCCCTCTCCGGAAGGTCATAAGTTCAAGGTTGGGGAGTGTGGGATTGGAGTCCCCGAAAGGGACCTCGAACACACACAGTCCAGGCACTTGCCTTCCCATCAATGTGCTCGGGCACTGCTTGCTCCTGCCTGGCTCAGTGGGTGGCACTCTACTCGTGCTGCCTTTCTGGGCTCCACGTGGGCTGGGTGGGCATGGCGGATCACTGAGCAGCTGAGGCGGCGGTGGAAGGGGACGAGGGCTGTGCTCCGGCAGCAGGTAAGCGGGGACGGTCGGGCACGTGGAAAGACAAGGGAAGGGGAGTCCTTCCAACAAGGCAGCCTCCCCTCTCCGGAAGGTCATAAGTTCAAGGTTGGGGAGTGTGGGATTGGAGTCCCCGAAAGGGACCTCGAACACACACAGTCCAGGCACTTGCCTTCCCATCAATGTGCTCGGGCACTGCTTGCTCCTGACTGGCTCAGCGGGTGGCGCTCTACTCGTGCTGCCTTTCTGGGCTCCACGTGGGCTGGGTGGGCATGGTGGATCACTGACCAGCTGCGGCAGCAGTGGAAGGGGGTGAGGGCTGCGCTTCAGCAGCAGGTAAGCGGGGATGGTCAGGCACATGGAAAGACAAGGGAAGGTGAGTTCTTCCATCAACCTTAAAATATAAAATATACAAAAGCCTGACATTTTAAAGGTTTTTATCTTTGCCTGCTGGACAGATGACATTAGGCTTAAAGGAGGACCAGCCTGACGTTTGACAACCCTATATATGAGGAAGCCTTTGAGGCCTAATTGGCAACAGAAGCTGGAGCACAGCTTAGCTTGGCTTACTCCAGTGCAGCCTTATTTTGGCTGGCTGATTTTGGGGCCTATCTGGTGAGAGTAGTTGGGATGGTGGATTTGTCAAGACAAGCTTGTCTTATGGGACCCTGTATTGGACAGTCTATTGGCCAAGGCTACTCTCTGGTAGATGGCCACCATTTGTCCTGGGCTTGGAGTTTCTTTCTTTGGACATGCCTTAAGGGCTCTCTGTTAGTTTCCATGTCCAATTCAAGATGCTGGTATGACCTATAAAGTCTTTAATACAGTGGTGCCTCACAAGATGAATGCCTCGCACAATGAAAAACTCACAAGATGAAAGTATCTTGCAAGTTTTTTGGTGACCCGCAAGAGGAAAAAAAAATTTGTCTTGCAAGGCGCAGTTTCCCATAGGAATGCATTGAAATTTAATTAATGTGTTCCTATGGGCAAAAAAACTCAAAAGAAAGTCAGAACAAAGTCACTTACAGTACCAGGTACTGTAGACTGAGCCCCGCTCCTCACGGTGCTGGGCAAGCCCCAGGAAGCCTCTGAAAGCAGTGCTTGCTGTGGGGGGGGCACCCACCCGTGGCCAGTGCTGCTTTCAGAGGTCCCCATTGAAGGACTGGCACCACTGGAGGACTGGCGAGGGACCTGTGAAAGCGCTGACAGTGCTCCTAGCACTGATGGGAGACCTCTGAAAATGGCGCTGGCTGTGGGGGGGGGTACCTCCCCGTGGCAAGCAATGCTTTCAGAGGCTTTCCAGGGTTGCCCAGCACGTAAAAAGGCAGGGGAAAAGCACCATTTCCCCCTGCCTTTTTCTGTGCTGGGCAAGCCCCAAGAAGCCTCTGAGACCCAGCGCTGAACAGCTGAGAGGCGGGGGGTGGTGGGGAGCGGAGACTACCACAAAATGGCTGCTATCTCTCAGCTGTTCGGCACTCTGGTCACACAGAGTCCAGCTGTTCCGGGACTACCAAGGCACTGTGAGGAGCGGGGCTTGGTCTACAGTACCTGGTACTGTAAGTGACTTTGTTTTGACTTTTTTTGTTTCTGACTTTTTTCACCCACAGGAACGCATTGCACCACAGAAGGTGAAAATTTTGCAAGACGACATGACTCGCCGAAGGAATTAATTTTGTCTTGCAAGGCATCGCTGTAGTTAGGATCTTATGATTTGCCTCTCTTACAAAACAGCTACTTAGGATCTCATGATTTGCCTCTCTTACAAAACAGCTACCTGTTCCACCCATGGATGTTAAAAACGGCGACACTGAAGCAGGCCCAAAGAGTAAATACAACAAACTGTGCTTGTGGTCCCTTCGTTTGGAATAAGCTCTCAATAGAAGCTTGTCAGGTACTTTCTCTCTCCATTTTTAAGAAATTTAGAAAAACTGTACTATTCAAATCTGCCTTTTAACTTCCTGAGATGCTCAAATCTGTTTTTAACTTGTTTTATTTTACTGACAGGGTTTTAGCTATTTTATGTATTTATTGTTGGGCATTTGTTGTGTTTTTAATGGAACTGCACACAGAGTGTGTATACTATGAAGCAGTATACAAGATGAAATAATAAATAAATAAAATCTACTTATTTATTTATTTATGATATTTTACCTCCCTCACTTCTCCCCAATGGCTTAGACATTAGTAACTTCCCAGAACTCATTTTAGTGCAGATGAACAAAAATGAGAAGCTTGTGAGAAGCTGCTTAACTTCTTTTTAAATGTAACTAATTTCTCATGATCCACACACTCAAAAGCTTTGCTATAGCCTATAAAGCAAAAAACTGATCTAAAAATATTTTGTGTGCTCCAGTAGCTGGTGGACACTGGCATTATAATTTCAAGTGCCTCTTCCTTTTTAGAATCCAACTTGAAGTTCAGACATTTCTTGTTCCATATAAGGTAAAAGGCTTTGTTGCAACACCTTGAGCATCATTTTGTTTGCACTGGAAATTAAAGCAATGGGTCCACTCCTTGGTATCTTGGTGATTGGAATGCATGTTGAACTTTGCTAGTCTGTGAGCCATTGTTTGGTTTTCCATATTTCTTGGGATATTCTTGTTATGATTTTGACAGATTAAGACTCTGTGTCTCAAATAGTTCTATTGGTATTCTATTGCTTCCTGGTGATTTATTCCTTCTTATTGCTTTCAAAACAGCTCTCACTTTACTTTCTAGAACTACAGGTTATTTATCATAGGAATCCTCTTCAAAGGGGTGTGACATCCTTTTATCTCTTCTGTATGGGTCTTCGGTATACTGTTTCCACATTTGATACTGGTCAGATAGCATGTTTCCCTGCTGGTCTTTCAGCATTCCTTATCTAGGATCAAATTTTTCTTTATTTTCTTGGATCTTTTGGAAGAAATCTCTTTTTTATTCCATTTTGTTGGCCTCTTCTGTTTCTTTGCACTGGCCTTTATGCTAGCTCTCTTTGTTTCTACGTGACAATCACTGAAAAGGTGCATTAAGGTTTCCTGCCCTATTTCTGTCACCTTTTAGTTTTGCTTCTTGTCTGTCCTTTATAATTTTAAGTATTTCTTCTGTCATCTATCTAGATTTTTCTTTTCTTTTTACCACAGGAGTTCTCTTTTTGCATTCTTCCCTAATAATATATCTGGCTTGAATCCACAGTTCTTCAGGTTCATGGTCAACTGAGTTTAGTCATGAAAATCTGTTCTTTATGTGAACTTTAAATTCATCATAAATGTTCCTTAAATTATATTTTGGCACTAGGGTTGTTTTTAGTGCTCTTGTTCAGCTTTTCCCTAATATTGGATATGAACAGATCATGATCAGTACCACAATTTGCTCTTGGTCTTGTTTTGGCAGACAGAGTAGAGCTTCTCCATCTCCTGCTTCCAATAAAAGTCTATTTGACTTCTATATTGGTCATCTAGCAGTGTCCACATGTACAGTTATCTGTTCACTTCATTGAAGCATATATTTGTGACTAACAGATTGTTGGCCTCACATAATTCCATGAGTTCTGCTTCATTTATGACCCCTAGACAAAAATGTTCAACACCACCTGGTTCTCCTTTGACTTCTACCTTTATGCTCCAAGCCAGCTATGATTATAAGCATGTCTTGTTTTGGTATGTGATCCATTTCCTCCTGAATAATTTCATAGATGCTTTCAATTTCTTCTTCTTCAGCATTTGTAATTGGAGAATAGACCTGAATGATAGTTATGTTGATTCTCCCCCAGAAGTCTGATGGATATTATTCAAACATTACATTATAATCCCTAACTGCCTGTCCTACATCTTGCCTAGTATTAGAGCCACTCCATTTCTTGAATTTGCCATTTCCATACTAGAACAAATTGTAGTTGTGTAACTGAAAATGCTGATTCCTATCTATTTTAGTTCACCAACCCGGCAATGTTTCTAAAGCAAGCCTATACTGACCCTGCAATGTTTGTAAAGCAAGTTTCCAGTTTACCTTGATTCATACTTCTCATGTTCCATGCACCAATTGTATGTGTTTTGAAGCATTGGACTTTCCTTTCACCTTGGACA